TGGGGCTGCAGAGGGATGCCCGGAACTATGTGGACCTACAGAGCTGTCTTGTGTAGGTTGGGAATTGTGACAAATAAATGTCCAACCTCCGGCTTAAAAAAAAAAAAAAAGAGAAGGCCCTTGGCCTCGGTAAGATAATCCTAACAATGCTGCTCCAACTACTGCTGCTACTGATCAGTAATAGCTAACACTTGTTGAGTGAGTACTGATGAGTCAGTGTGCTTGGCCCTGGCCTTACGAGTTTGCATGTATTATCTCACTCAATACTCACAGTGACCCTCCGAGGTAGGTGCTGTGATTATTCCAATTTTCTCAGGTTGAGAAAATGGTAGTGAGATAGGAGAGTGTTCAGTGTTTGGACAAGACTCATGTGGGCTTTTTTATGGCCCTTTCTAGAACTCTTACTTTTTATCTGTGAATCTATACTTTTCAACAGTAATATTAGAACTTGATAGAGAGTAAAACATGTAGGAGAGAGTTTTAACTACTAGTAAGACCTGATTTGCAACAACAACAAAAATCTACAGGTACAAGGGTTCTACCCCTAAGAAATACCATCTCAAGACAGCTTCTCTTTAACTAAAGTTGTCCACTTTTTACATCTGTGGATGCTGTGATCTGCCATGACACTTATGCCCATCATCATCACAAGTGTTTCTAAAGTGTTGTCATTCAAATTATATATATATATATTCTTAGTTGGAATTCTCCCTTCAACCTGTAACACTCAGAAGAACATATGAAGGGGCTTCAAATCGTTCATGGAAAGAGTCCATTATTTGTTTGTTTGTGCTGTAAATTGAGTAGAGGAGGGGTAGTGTTGATTTTTCAGACCATCAACTCTGAATTCAACAGTTTAAACCTCTCTTCTACTCCTCCCACTGATTTCTAGTCTCCCTCCTATGGTCCCCTATCCTGCCTTTCACCCATGTGAGCATCTGTCCATCCTTGAGTCCAAGGCCTCATCTTCCCACTTGGTCCTCCAAAGTCTGTTCCCTTCGGCATGCAGGTCTTTGCCTTGCTTTTCCCCTGTATGTAGTGGTCTCCTACAACATTGTCCTTGGTGAGTACCTTCACTCAGCACAGTGGTGTCCAGGGCCACCCATGTCATGAGGTGCTTTGTGGTTTCATCACTGTGTTTTAGGATGCATAGTATTCCACAGTGTGCATGACCAAAGTTTCTTCATCTGCTCTTCTACTAATGGGCATTTGGGCTGTTTCCAGCTTCTTGCGGTTGTGAACAGTGCCACAGCGAACATAGAAACACATATGTCTCTTCGTGCTATGTCTCTTACTTCTGTAGGGAATGCACCAAGCAGAGGCATTGCCAGCTGTTTGAAGTAGCACCATATCACTTTCCACAATAGTTGTACATATATTATTTATTTCATTTTTTCCATGATCTTTTTCTTTTAATCATTTTACTGGGGGCTCATACAACTCATATCACAATCCATACATACATCCATTGTGTCAAGCACATTTGTACATTTGTTGCCATCATCATTCTCAAAACATTTGCTTTCTACTTCAGCCCTTGATATCAGCTCCTCATTTTCCCCCTCCCTCCCCGCTACCCCCTCCCTAATGAACACTTGATAATTTATAAATTACTATTATTTTGTCATGTCTTACACTGTTCGTCGTCTCCCTTCACCCACTTTTCTGATGTCTGTCCCCCAGGGAGGGGGTTATCCATGATCGTTTTGAAGCCCCTTTTATATATTGTAGGTCAGTTACTTGGGCTTTTTCTTTTTGAAATAGAAAGAAATACCTTGAAAATAATTTTCTCCCCTTATTGAATAAAAATACAATTTGAAATGAAGATCCATACTCAGATCATATGTATCATTGTTTAAAAGTCCTGATCAAATTATATATATACACTATTTCAAAAGATAGCCTTTCAGAGTTTTTTTAGCATGTCTCTAGAAGTTTCTACAGATACTTCTTGAGGCACAGAATAGTACTAGTAATGACAGGCCTAAGAATAAAATAACAAACTTACCTCCACAATCAATTGTGAGGATTGCTGGGGGCTCAACCTACGAAACTCCCCTTTGTATCAATAGACCATAGATAGAACCTGTGCCTTCCAGCGCCGCATGTGGCAATGACTTGCACTCACCAATCTTGTGACGCAGTGTGCACGGCGTGCTGCAGATGCATAGCGCGTCTAACAGGGAACACGGTGAACCCATGCGCTCTTCTCTTTTGTAGGCTGGTGAGCAAATCCATGTCAGTCTCCCCCTGTCGCAGCAAGTCGCCCATGAGAGCCGCCTCTCCATGTCCGAGTCTGTGTCCGAGTTCTTCGACGCCCAGGAGGTGCTCCTCTCTGCAAGCTCCTCCGAGAACGAAGTAGGTGCTATGACGTGACGCCCGACGAGTGGGGCGCTTCAGTTTGCTTGGAAGAAAGTATGGCTGCGTTTGGTTGGTTGGTGGTTTCCTTTTTGAATACCCAAAGATTGGCAAAGCCACAAGCTTGAAAACTCTATTGGTTCCCATTTACCGGACATTAAACAATCTGGATACTGCCTTATGACTCTTTAGTAAAAGGAAGAATCAAGCATTTATTTGGGCTTTCTTATATGACCTATGTTTCAGGATAATTAAATCATTGATAACAGAGCTCTTTCTAGAAAAAGACTGTCTGATACTGGTAGAAAGAATTAGATTGTCCTCACAGATGTACTTACATTCACATACAGTTGTATTTGTCCTTAAAGTATGAATTTAGACTCAGGAGCATAACACCTCTGGCTGCAGACCACAGCAACTGCCATCAAGGTAATTGTGACTCACAGTGACCCGATAGGACAGAGTAGAACTGCTCTGTGGCTTTATTTCCAAGACTGTAACTTGCGGGACTAGAAAGCCTCGTCTTTCTCCTTCGGAACTACTGGTGATTCACAGCAGTTGATTAGGAATTTTGTCATTTGAGGTTCAATCTGTTTCATATTCTTACAAAAAGGGAAGGAAATCATTGTTAAATGTTATTTCCATAAGTGTATGAAAGAGGCCGGTGAGGGACGCATCCTGACAACTAGAAGTCAGTGATTTTGGTTGTTGGGCCTTATGAGTGAATATTAAAACAAAGTAGAAAAGAGAAAGCAAGAATGGGCACACATCACTTTTATAAAAGGAAAGAGGTAAGCTAGACTTCTCCTATCAGGCACCTCCTGTCAGGTCTCAAGTCATGCAGCAGTAGGAGAACAGACTCCCCTTCCTGAGCCTGCTGTTGTCAGGTACCATCAGGTCTGTCTGACCCACAACAGCCTTGGGCACTAGGGAATGAAACGCTGCCTGGCCCTGCACTGTCCTCACAATCACTCGTATGCTTGTGCCACTTCAATCATCTATAGTGACGACAGATAATATGAGATGGACAGACTAGCTGTCCTTGCTGATTAGCTCCTCTTTCCCTGTAGGCAAATCTGCATGAGAAGCAGCTTGCTTCATGGGAGCAGGAGGGGTGAAAGGAGTGAACTTAAAGCCTAGGAGAGTTGAGATGTAATAGCTCCTTGCTTCTGTTTCCACTGTGGGGATACTCCTGCGACGTGCCTATCTGTGGATGTCTTGAGTCAGGCCATGCTGGAAACACGTTACCAGGTTGCCATGTTATCAGATTTCCTTGTCCTAAGCTCCCGTTGCGTCTTCTGCATGTCTGGACTTTTGAGGTTGTCTAGAGAAACAAAACTAGTGACACTCTTATATTTATAAGAAAGAACTTTATATCAAGAAGACTTCCCTGTTCAACTCAAATCCATGGGTCCAATGCTAGTCAGAGCCTTCTTCAGACTCACATAACTGAAAGCTGATGACACAGAAAGGTGGAGGGTGAAGCAGGGAGATCATAGCTGGAAGGTGCAGAGTCCTGTGGACCCTCTAGGCCAGGGGTCCTCAAACTTCGGCCCGCGGGCCACTGCGGCCCACTGAGGATATTTATCCAGACCAGTAGGTGTTTTTGCCCCCTTTTGTTTTTTACTTCAAAATAAGATATGTGCAGTGTGCATAGGAATTTGTTTTTTTTTAAACTATAGTCTGGCCCTCCAACAGGTCTGAGGGACAGTGAACTGGACCCCTGTTTAAAAAGTTTGAGGACCCTGCTAGGCTGCTGAAAACATGGCAGGGTGCTGACAGCTCTCCAGATTGACAGCCCACATGTGGCTGTTGCTGGAGGCAAACAGAGAGTCCCAGCAAGGAGGAAGGCAAAGAGCCCAAGAGTAAGAGATGTTTCCAGCGTCTCTTTTATAAATAGACCACACCTTCAAGGAAGCATCGTCAGGCTGTCACCTGATTGGCAGGATGGACTCCACCCCTACACTTTCACACAGTTGCCAGTTGACATAAAATCCACTGCCACACCTTCTGAGAGCAGCCCTTTCCACCCCTTTTCCAGGTGTCTTGGGGATTGCTTGACTAAAGTACCGAGGTACTATTAGAGTGAACAAAAATAAATAGGAAAAGAAAAAAATTACTAAATAGCAACTAAATCCAGTTACTATACCCTGTTTCCCCGAAAATAAGACAGTGTCTTATATTAATTTTTGCTCCCAAAGATACGCTAGGTCTTATTTTCAGGGGATATCTTATTTTTCCATGAAGAAGAATTTGGTACACATTTATTGTTTATTGTTTTATTAAAAGAGACCTCGCACTTCCTGTCTGCTCCAGCTGTGCTGCGGCCAACAGTGAGCTGCACAGCGGCACCCGCAGCTATGGCCCAGAGTCCAGAATTACGGTAGCTTCCGGGGGGCCTTATTTTCAGGGAGGTCTTGTTTTCGGGGGGTTACCTTATATTTCACTGAGAGGCAAAATTGTAAGTAGGTCTTATTTTGGAGGGATGTCTTGCTTTCGGGGAAACAGGGTAGATATCCAAGCAAGATGGTGGTGCCCTTCCCCTGGCATAAGGTAGTGGAGAATGAACCTAGTGGTAATTGAAGGCAGGATAGGTACAAGGCTGGGCTGCATGGAAGGGATAGGTCCACTTTTGAAGCATCCTGCATTGATTAGTCTGCTCCGTGCAGTTGTCTGGAAGGCATTTGGATACTCGAGTTTGAAGCTCTAGGAAATAGCTGGTCTAGAGACAGAAGGAGGAGTCAGCGCTAAATCCATATTACCAGCTGCCTCCAGAGCCTCTAACTCAATATATCCAAAAGCAGAATGAACAAATCTGTTACATACATACACATATGTATGCACAGCCTCTTCCTGTTTCCTATCTCAGCACTCTTAAACCCATCCATTTGCATTGAATACCTGGCTGATTTCCTTCATTTCCTCTCTGGTTACCACCACCACCTACAGTGATTCACTCAGCGCTTCTGTGCCCACCAATCACTATACCTGTGGGATAGTAATATACCTGTGGAATCCTAGCAGCGGCTGCTTGGAAGTTCAGACTGGATCCTCCTCAGTATAGCTACCATCTTGGCTAGATCGCTTCTCTGCCAGACACATACGTGTCCGTAAATTCACTCACTGCCGTCTTCGTCTCCAAAGTCCAAGTCAGGGAGAACGACCCTGGTTGCTTTCTCCAAAATTTCAAACTGTTACTTCCGGCCCTCTGCCTTTTAAAAGTCAAAGCAACTTCTTTTATTTGTTGTGCCAGTTTTTTGTTTTTGTTTTGAACTATAGTGCCGTCTTACTAGAAATAAGAAAAAAACAGCAAACAGAAAAATGTATGTACTACTGATTTGCCTGACTAAAGCACTCTTTACTATGAGTAGTGGTCTCTGTTATGTTTACTAAGTATCTAAGGAGCCCTAATGATGCCATGGACTAGGCATTGTGCTACTAACCTTACAGTCAGCCATTCAAACCCACTAGCTGCTCCAACAGAGAAAGAAGAGGCTATATGCTCCCTTAAAAATTAAGGCTCAGAAATGCTATATAAGGGTCACTGTGAGTTGGCATCAGTTATAAGAATGGAAATTTACCAGTCTGTTTTCTTTCTAGATATATTTAATTTGGCCATTTATAACTTCAGCCATTTGTTTAAAAAAAAAGGCGGGGGGTGGGGGTGGGGGGCGGACTCACCAAGATCCTGAAAGCCCTTCAAGGAAAGAGTAAGTTGTGTCACAGTCCCCATTAGGCCCACTCATTAACCCCATAGCACTTTCATAACTGCAAAACCTCTCAATGCAATTCCATTTGATTCTTATGCTAGCTCTGTGAGCTAGGCAGTGTTATTTTCACTATTTTTTAAAATTTTTCACTATTTAAAGAATAAGGAAGCAAAGACTCAGAAAGATTAACCAGCTAATTAATGGCTGGACCAGGCTCTTCCTTGCATTGCCCCTAACATTTTGTATTCCTCTTCCTTGTATTTTCCCTGTAACATCTAGCAACAAAAGGGACGTTCCATGAGAAAAGAGGCTGACTCACCTGTCTCAACCTGTACTAGACTAATTCCAATGAGTATAGAGCAAAGCCCCACCCAGTGCTATCAAGTCGACCCCATTCATAGCACCCTGTATAGGGCTTCTGAGAATGTAAATCTTTACAGGCTCAGACAGCCTCATCTTTCTCCCAAGGAATGGCTGGTGGGTTTGAACTGACCAACCTTGTGGTTAGCAACCCATTGCTTAACCCAAAGCACCACCAGAACAAGTACTCAAAATATAGTTGCTATCTAAAGAAGAAAGGAAGGAATGTTTACCGCATATGAACATGATGAATCTGAGAACTGGCTGGGCATTAAGTGTCTTACAGTAACATTATCTATGCCTAGGTGAAAAACCCTCCTTTTGAGATATCTACCCATACATTTCACTTACAGAAAGCTCAGTTCCTTAAAAGGAAAATGATTGCTTCCACAATAATGTACGTGCATAGTTTCTTCTCCTAAACTGGCTTCTGCAGCACTGCATGCCTTGTGGTATTGAAAAAACAAAACAAACTTGAGCTCTTTGAATCCCTACGCTTAAAAAGAAATATTTGGCTCCGGAACATCTTGGCCATGAGGAGAACAAACAACCTATCCAGTGTATAGTAATTGCCCTCTTACATAATGCGGACGACTCTTGACTGGGCAGGGTAGCATGCGTGGACCATCGCCAAGCGAGTCCATCTTAGTGACTGCACGCAAGCAGGTGATCTGCACAGGTCTTAATGCCCGTGGTCACTTTAGAATATGTTTGTGCCGGTTTCAGATCATTTCTGTAACACATTGATTTGAAAGAGAGAATATAAGAGGAATACGCTGTTAATGCCCTTTTGTAGACTAAGCATGAGTGTTTTCTAACAAATGTCCAAACAGTAAGCATTCGTGTCACGAATTCTCTTTGGGCAGGGACTGCTTAGCTTGGCAGAACAATCTCTTAAAAGAATCTCTTTCTCTATTTTATCAGCCTTAAGAAGGTGGCCTTTCGTATAACTTTCAGTTCTGCTGCAGTTAATACCCACAGCTACTTTCTTAGGGGGCTCTGGTGGCAAAGTGGTTATGCGCGGGGCTGCTAATCTCAAGGTCAGCCTTTCAAAAGTATTAGCCAGTTCCACAGGAGAAAGATGAGGTTTCTACTCCTGTGAAGAGTTACAGTCTCAGAAACTCACTGGGACACTTCTACCCTGTCCAATAGGGCCGCGATGACCTGCAGGGTCAGAAGTGGCTCTTTGGCAGTGCATTTGGTTTTTGTTGTTGTTTTGCCCCATTCTCACTGTATTGTATTTCAATGGACCTGTTTAAGGACTGCCCTTCTCAAACAAGGCAGGGAGGAAGCTACTTGAAGACTAAGGAAATGTTTGAGCAATTGCTGTATCTCGGCTCATGGTAGAACCTCAAAGACCCACTGCAAGCACACCGAATCCCTTTCTTCCCCTGACCTCTAGTTCTCATTTGAACAGTACCCCCAGCCCACTTACCTATGTGGCCAGGCTTCAAAGACAGCTGTTGGGGAAAATCGATGTGATATGAAAAGGGGAGAATGACCATAAAATGGACGATGCCTACCTCCTTACATACCTGCCAAATCAGGGAGGGTTAGGGTCCAGCCGACAGCAGCCTGCATCACACTCAGCTCCCACCATGCATGCGTCACTGCAGGGAGATAGTATATACCTTCCTGTGGTCGTCAGTGGGTAATGTCAGATAATGAGAGAGTGGACACGTGTGAAGTAGGTGTGTGTCTTGTTTTTAAGTGTTTAATTATCTGAGCTTTGAGACTGAATGATAATCCTGCACCCTTTTATTGCCTTCCCTTCCCTAGGCTTCTGATGACGAGTCTTATATCAGTGACGTGAGTGATAATATATCAGAAGACAACACGAGTGTTGCAGACAACATTTCTCGGCAAAGTATGCACTTTGAACTTCCAAGTTGTTCTACCTGCCCACCAAATTACAGCTCTGGTGACGTCATGAAGTCCTTTCCATCCCCTCCCGAATTTTCTGTTGCAGTTGATTGTTCAATAGAGTTTACATCCGTAGAATCTGTGGAAGCAGATGATTTGAAAATATTCAGGGAGATGGTTTAGAGCAAAGCCTTTCACTTCATGTTCATACCAAACATTTGGTCCTTTTAAATAAACTGGCTTATTATCTTTTCTTTAAGAATACTTTAAAATCTTATTTTAAAACCTTATACTGGTAGTTGTACATTTGTATTGAAATGATTCTTTTTTTTTCTTTTAACTTTGATTGTGTGTTAGGTAGGGGTTGACATTTCAGGCCATTATTTTTGGTATTCAACAACTTAAGCATTTATCTAACCTCCCAAAAGCTTGTCTTTTTTTTTTTTTTTTTTTTTGGTACTCCCTTTTTATGTCCTCCCCTCGCCACTATTAGAAAAGAAACAAATAAGAATAACAGTTTTCTTACCAAAAGAAATCGGCGTTGATGGTTACCAGTAGTGGGAGAGGAGGGGAGGAGGAGAAGCATAGACTAAGAGGTGGGCGAAGGGAAGATCATGTAGGAGAGTCCGGTCAGCGACTCCGTTTATTCTCAGAAATGTGCTCCATCGGAAGAGTCGTTTCCCTCTGATCTCGTGCAATGGGAAAAGCAGGGTCCCCTTCGCTGTGGTTCTCATCTCTCTCCCTCTTCCAGTCCTCAACGGGGAGCTTACAGGAGGGGCTTTCCGGAACGGGCGCCGAACATGCCTCCCGGCGCCCTGCCCCGACACCAGTAACATCAACCTGTGGAATATCCTGAGGAACAACATCGGTAAAGACCTGTCTAAAGTCTCCATGCCGGTGGAGCTCAACGAGCCCCTCAACACGCTGCAGCATCTCTGTGAGGAAATGGAATACAGCGAGCTCCTGGACAAGGCCTCGGAAACCGACGACCCCTACGAGCGCATGGTAATAAGCTGGGATTGGTCAGTCCTGGACCACAACTAAGCCAGAATTCATTAGGATGACATACGAGGGGCTTCTAAAAGTTAGTGGGACGTTCCCTTATCATTTAATTCCATTGAAGTGCTTCCACCACGACTACATTAGGAGACAGTTTTTAAGGAACATTCTTCCGACACAGATGAGAGGGTTTGTTTGTACAGATGACTCCGGAGCAAAAAGCTCCATGTACTCTCATGATTTAGCTCTGGTTTCGAGGGTGTTAAAGCTTGCATGCCTAGCTGTCTGTGGGGTCCTTGAGTGGTAGGAATGGTCAATATGATCAGCTGCTAATGGAAAGTTCAGAGTTTGAATTGTCGAGGGGATTGTTATAAGAGCTGTAAGCGCTGCCAATAAAATGATCTGTAAAACTAGAAAAGTTCAGAATTTGAGTGTGCCCAAAGGAACCCAGGGAGAAAGTTCTGGCAGTCCACATGTTAAAAATCAGCGTTGAAAACCCTATAGGGCACAGTTCCACTCTGATACCCCTGGGGCCGCATGAGCCAACGTTGAATTGCTGGGACTTGGTTAGCTTCACTATATCAGCTTTTCCTAAATGTCAGGGTAATTTCTTTGTTCAGCAACGTTGGCTGGAGAAGGAGTTTCCTATTTATACTTTGGCCAGGCTCTATTCCATATGATTCTGGGAAACTCCCTTACTCCTGAAAATCACCAGCACCACATCTCTCCTCCGTATCACTGTGATGGTAGGAATGATACAGTCTGTTCACCAAGTTTCAGATATTTGAATTCTCGGATATTCCTAGTATTAGTTTTCTAGGACTGCCATAATGGAAAACACAAATGCCATCAAATCAGCTTTCATTGGCACGGAGCATGTAAAATCAGTAACAAGGAGCAAACAAATCCGGAAATAACTCAAAATAAGAAGGAAGAGATGCAAACCTTTTATTAATAATCAAAACATGGAGTGTATGAAGTATAAATCTAGGAAAATTACAGTGAAATGGAGTGCCTAAAGATCAATATCCTAGGCATTAGTGAGCTGAATGTACTGTTATTGGCCATTGTGAATCAGGCAATCATATAGTCACATTCCAATGGTCACGTTCATAATCATATGATCACATATATAGTCCAAAAGAATGGTTTGAGATCTATCCTGAAGTTCAAGTCTGTCAGTGAAAGGATGCTACTTGTGCACTTATAAGGAAGAACAACCAGTTTATAGAGCTATTGTTAAATATATGCACCAACTACAAATGCCAAAGATAAAGAAATGAAAGATTCTACCATGAATTTGATGAGATGTGCAATCAAGGTGTATTGATGGTGTACTGATGGTGGGATGTCAAAGTTGTAAACCAAGAAGAAGGATCAGTCGCTGGAAAAGATGGTCTTGATGGTGGAAATGACACCAGAGGTCACAGTTTGCATGTGACAGAATTTTGCAAGACAATGACATATTCACAGCAATATCATTTTTCAACAATATACATGGCAACTATGCACATGAGCACCAATGGACTACCCAGGAATCAAATGTACTGTGTTTGTGAAAAGAGAGGTTGAGAAGCTCAGTGTTGCCAGTCAGAAGAAGTAGAGTAGAACGGACCATGAATTGCTCATATTGCAAGTTCATGTTAGAGTAAAGAACATTAAAGCAAGTCCCTAAGAGCCAAAGTCCATCCTGGAGAGAGCAGATTTGACACACTGAACACTCATGACCAGACAAGTTGTGGGATAACATCAAGGATATCATCCATAAAGAAAACAAGCTCGGGAAAGAAAAAAAGACCAAAATAGATTCCAGAATAGACTGAAGTTTGCTCTGGGATGCGGAAAGGCAAAAGTGAAAGGAAGAAGTGATGGAGTAAAAAAGCTGAATTCATGGTAGCTTGAGAAGATAAAGTGGTCTAATGAAATGTGGAAAGTGGGAAGAACATACATGGCATTTTTCAAGCTAAAAGAATGGAAGAAAATGTTCAGTCATCAAGTTGCAGTGTTACAAGTACACCGGATTATACAGGCAAGATATTGAGTAATGCAGGAAGCATCAAGGGAAAATGGAAGAAACCCCCAGTCACTATACCAAAAAGAATTGATTGATAGCCATTCACTATAAGAGGTAACAAAGGAATCAAGGAGATCAAGCTGCAACAAGATTGGAGGGAGGCTTATTAAAAACCTGTGGTGTAGAGAGGACACACCTTGTTTGCTGCAATCAAGGAGGAATCCCAGACAGCAGTCTTCAGCGCCCTGTATTGTCAGAAGAATGAGCAAACTTGCGCTTGCAGGACTGCCAGGATGTTCTCTGGAAACAAAGATGGTGAGACACTGTATCACATACTTTGGACACGTTATCAAGAGGGGCCTAACCCTGAAGGACTCATGCTCGGTACAGTAGTAGGTCCACCCCAAAGAAGAGCCTCAACGAGCGAAATTGACACAGTGGCTGCACCGATGGGCTCAAAGGCGGCATCACCTGTGGGGCTCGTGCAGTGCCGCCCTGGGCAGTGTTTCGTTCTGCTTCACAGAGCGTTGCTGTGGGTCAGAGCTGGCTCGATGGCACCCGACGACAACAACAACAACATATTGTTTTCCTTTCTTCCATGTTTTAACAGGTTCTTATTGCTGCATTTGCAGTTTCAGGATATTGCTCCACCTATTTCAGAGCAGGAAGTAAGCCATTCAACCCGGTCCTGGGAGAGACTTACGAGTGCATCAGAGAAGACAAGGGATTCCGATTTTTCTCAGAACAAGTAAGTCCCGTTCGAACCAACGGAGAGAACCATCGGTTTGGGGTGATTTATATCATTTAACAGAAAACTCATTGAGCTCGTCTGCCTAGCTGTTTATAAATTCTCTCTGTTGAAGCATGATATCTGAAAGCTAACGGTTTACCAATTCACTTACCGTTTTTGAGAATAATTCATTAATATAGATGAATGAAGTGATTAATTTATTTCAGAGTTAGCCAATATGTGGTATAAAAATTGTTAGGTGTGTTCGTTTGAGTACTGATTTCTATAACCTTACTTTTTGTTTGCCATTGCCAGGTTAGCCATCATCCACCCATTTCTGCCTGTCACTGTGAATCAAAGGATTTTGTGTTTTGGCAAGGTTTGTATTTCCGTTATAATTTAAAAATCAACTTCATGTGCCTATGGAAAAGTCTCTAATGTCTAAAGGTACAAATATTCTCTTGTTGAAGGCAATTGCTGCTGATTTACACATTTCTTGACCTAAATATGGAATTAGGAGTCCCGCTCATGTGGTGGGTTAGGGTTAGACTGCTATTCTCAAGGTGGGGGCTGCAAATCTACCAGCCACTTTTCAGGAAAAAGATGAAGTTTTCTGCTCCCATAAAAATGTATAACATAGGTTCCCAAACTAATGGGGCCTACCACCCCCTTTTAGTGCTTGTACTATAACCCATCCGTAACCAGAGTGTAGTGTAGGTATCTGCTTTTGCAGCCCACCCTTGGATCATTCCAGCACCCCTCAGGGGCAGAATAGCTCACTTTGGGAAACACTGATTTAATGCCTCGGGAACCCTATGGAGCTATTCTGTTGTGTCCTATGAGGTTGCTGTGAGTTGGGATTATCTCAGTAGTGTACGTTTGTTTTGTTTTGTTTTGATCTCTCGTCTAAGAGACACAACCTGGGGACAGCAGGGGTCCATGCTGATGTTGCAGCTCAAGGCTATCACTTTACCTCATTGTGCTTCGTTACCTGGAGATTCTACAGGTTGCCTTCTTGCTTCCTTGCGTATGCAAAGAGATCACATTGGGCTGTGAGCCTCAAGGTTCACAGTTGAAACCACCAGCTGCTCGTTGGTAGAAAGACAGGACTTTTCTACTCCTGCAAACAGTTACAGTCTGGGGCATTCACAGAGCGCTCCTACCTTGTCCTAGAGAGTCAGTATTGGCTCGATGGCAATGAGTTTGGTTTTTCTTTTTTCTCTTTTTAATCTGTCACAGTCTATTTGGATTTAGAAACATGCAGTAGTTCCTGTCTTTTACTAGTTGGTGCTCAGAAATTGGGATGAAAGCCTCTGTTCACTAAGTATAAATCATGGCTCCAGAGTTTGAATGGCTCGTCATTGCTCACAGAATGACTCTTCAACTGCATTTCCTCAAACTGAAAACACACATTCGCAATGATAGAACATCATAACTGTATCTTATTGAAAAAATAGAATGTATACCCACTCCTTGCTTTTACTGACCTGGCTAGTTTTCAAAGACCAGTTGTTATTCGAAAATGGAGAATGACCACATCAGGTCACAAAATGGAGAGGGACTAGATCATTAAAGTACATCATTGTATAACTACCAAACCACTGGGTTTTGTGGCCCAGCGAAGCGGACACGTAACCCTAACCTTCACAGCCAGCATTACTCTTCCTTGTACTTCAGCAACGAACTTCAACATTTGTTACTACTAGACGAAGTAGTAATAAATACACAGAGTAGATAGACAAGTAGATTTTTTTACTATTGCCATCATTTCAGAATGTCAGGTAACAAGATAGTCATTAAGTGAAGAGTAGGTATAAATCATTTCTTGGTCTGACAAAGATTTGGAAATTTTGTGGAGACAGCATTACGTTTCTTCAGTTCATCAAAATGGAATCGAGCAGCAATGAAGAATTCCCAGGTTAATCTGAGTTTCTAAGAGTAAAACATAAAGTCATCATGCGAGATAAAGTGTTTGATCCTGATTGTATCTCAACAACCTGTGTAGGAACGTGTTTATTAATGGTACTTTCTCATAAATCTTGTATATATTTATTTAGTTATTTATTTCCTGTTCTCTCAAATCATATAGCTCTTCCAAAATGGGGGTGGGGTAATGTATAAAATCAATGCTATTGTCCTACTACAACTATTTTTACTATACACATGGTATTTGATAGGGGTAGCAACTATTTCTGTCTGTTGGTGAACATTTCTAAGAATATATATTTCTTTTTCTGGATATGAGAACACAACACTACGCATATATGTCTATATGCGTATGCTCACATGCACACACACACACACAATAGCCCAGACTTTTCTCCATTGTATTAATTCGGAGCATGGATTATGGAGAAGAGTAATATTCATGTGTTCTACTTCACAGGTAATCTTTTCATCTTAGGCGATCTTTAGAGTCTTACCATTTGAATATCATTGAAACAATGTAATGTCCATTCTGATATAAAAAATGCTTTGTGAAGAGTAACACAAAAGTTGATCTGTGGAACCAGTTATGAACTATGGAGTATTGGTTTTTGTCCTCTGCCTATGCTGTTTAGATATCCGATGGAAAAACAAGTTCTGGGGGAAGTCCATGGAAATCCTGCCTGTGGGAACACTGAATGTCGTGCTTCCAAAGTAAGTTGCTCTCATCCTCCTTTTGATTTCTTACCACTTTTGTAATCAGAAAGGAGCATTTCAGATTCCAAAATGTGCCACCGCTTCATTTCTCTATATGCCTGAACCTTCTGTTCACTTGACCAACGTTTCGAGAGTGGACAAGAGTCGATGAGAACATGAGCGTCTGTCTCAAAGCTGCCTTTGTGTATGTAGTCACATCCTCACTCATTAGTCAGCAGGGGTGCCCACCAGGTCCCGGCTCTGTGTGACATAGTCTCCCTTCCGGAAGTTTCTTTTCTATACAATTTATAATTTCCATTTTGAGTTCATCTTAAATCCATGGATTTATTTATTTATTTGTTTATGCTCAGGAAGAATAGTGAGCTTCTTTTCTTACTTCCTTTTTGTGTTTGTAGGGAATGTAGCCTATGAAAGTCTTGAAATAGATATACTTTTTAATTAGGGCTTTTTTTTTTTTTAAGACCAAGAGCTTGTTTTTATTTGATTGGGTTTTTTTGTTTGGTTGATTGGCTGAGAAGTTTTATTTTGTGTTTTTGTTTAACTTTTTCTTGTGAATCGGGTGACAGTTTACAGTGCAAGTTGCAAGCTGGTTTTCCACTCAACAATTCATACACATTTTAATCCATTTCATTGATTGCAATCCCTCCAATGTATCATCTCATATCCCACTTCCTTCTGTGTTTCTTGTTTCCATTCCTCCTTCTTTCCAAACCCTTCTGAATTTGTTCTTATGCAAATGCAGCTTTTGATCTCAGCTGGGGGGTTAGTGTAAGGTCTGCTGCCTCTCTAGTGCTATCTTCCCCTTAGAGTGCTAGGCTGAAAACTGAGCTACAGGAGTGAGTTCACTTCCAGACATAGAGGATGACTGAGGGTCATACTCGGGGTTTTCACCTGTCTACATCCAACAAGTAAGGCGAGTCTTTTTTTAATGATTTTGAGTTTTGTTCCACATTTTCCTCCTGCTAATGTGATTTCCTTCTAATGTGATCCCTTTCAGAGCAGTAGGTAGTGGTAGCTGGACACCACCTAGTTCTTCTGGTCTCAGGATCATAGAAACTGATGTTCATGCAGTTCATATCTATTGGACTAATTGTTCTCATGAATGTTGAATTTTCATGACTCTTGTTTCCTCTCAACGGGGAGAGATCAATAGTTGTATCTTAAATGGCCACTCACAACATTTGAAGGCCCCAGTCCCTCACTATTCAAAGTTTGTTTTTGTCACTTAAATGATAGGACTGGTTGCTGGGTTGGTGGAGGCAGGGAGGCGGGGGAAGTATCTCTAGGACATAAAATAAACTCGAAATATTTGCAAATTTGGAAAGAAGGAGGGGTTCCCAGGTGCATATAGTGCTTGCATAATACCAATTCATTGATTTTATAAGGATGCCAAGTATTTCATTTTATTTGAAAAGAAACATAATGTGCAAACCTCATTGTTATTTAAAGCTGTCATATCTCATTCCTTGGCAGAAATCCTTTTACCCATACTCCCCAGAATTTGCATTAGGTCTGAGCCATCTTCCTTATATGCCTCTGTCTTTTCCCAAAGAAGTAGCCACCTCTTTGGGTCTTACTGGTGAAGTAGGAAACAATGTTCTCAGGGTGATCTTTCTTGAATGCACACGCTGTCATGTCACCCTTCTGTCTTAACTTATCCTTCCACAAGGTCCTATTGCTGGCCAGGTGAATGCAGACTCGTTGATATGTCATTTCAGACCGTTCCTGCTCTGCCTCCGCATCCCTCATCAACTTTGCCACCCGGTCACACCTACTTCCCAAAACCCACCACTCAGGTCCCAGAAGCATCATGTTCTTCTAGCCTCTGTCTTTTGTTGATGCTTTCCCTAGTCCCCTGATCCCCTCCTATCCATCCTCCAAATCTTAGCCAAACCTTACCTCCTCTAGAGAATCGTCCTTGAATGGATGAATTCTGTCATACATATTTGTGACTACATATTTGTAACTAAGGAGTACAAGTGTCAAAGTGGGCTGTGTGTTGGGCTGCTAAATGCAGGGTCAGCAAGTTGAAACCATCAGCTGCTTTTTGGGGAAAAGATGAGGCTTTCTACTCCTGTAAAGATTTACAGTTTCTGAAACACTTCACAGAGACACTTCAACTCTGTCCTTTAGGGTCCCTGTGAATTGAAGTGGACTCCATGACAGTGAGATTAGTTTTTAGTAATTTCCAGGGAGGGGATTCCGGAAGCATTCTTTGACCAAAGAATATTCTTGGTAGTATAATCAGTAATACATATTTGTGGCCTTCCCTGTTTTTAACTAATGTTACCATTCTTTCTCCATCACTAGATATGGAGATTGCTACGTGTGGAATAAAGTCACCACGTGCATACACAACATCCTCAGTGGGAGGAGATGGATAGAGCACTATGGAGAAATCACCGTTAGAAATACCAAAAGCAGTGTTTGCATTTGCAAACTCACATTCGTCAAGGTAAAGAATGTCATTCAACATCATGCAGGCAAAATAGAGTCAAACACTAGCCTGGGGAAGATTGGAAGAATTATAACCATTACCTTTAAACCGCAGCAAGTGAATCTGTCCTGTATCTTTGGTTCTTTAAGGACATTTTAGATGAGAGAGAAGAATCAACTAAGCTTTCTCTCTTTTTTTCAATCATGATACAACACAGAAGGTAGATTGTCTCTTTCTTGAAAATTCTGATATCTAATATTTTGAAAGACACCATTCTATTTCATTTTTTAAAAAAACACATTTGAGATACATTTTTATATAGCTGGATAAATAATACCAAGCTTAAGAGTATGTCCAAAAAAATAAGTAGAATATTTCCCATACAGGGGTTATAGAGATTGGCATTGTTGCAATGGGCTATCTTCATTGGAGGTTGATTTTTCCAGGTGAATTATTGGAACTCTAATGTGAATGAAGTCCAGGGTGTTGTGATGGATCAGGAGGGGAAGGTGGTCCATCGGCTGTTTGGGAAGTGGCATGAGGGGCTCTACTGTGGTGTGGCCCCATCAGCAAAGTGCATCTGGAGACCAGGTGAGGCTGGCAGGAGTGCCCTGCCCCAAGAGGGCACCAGGAATGAATGCCAGGTCATCCCATCCAATTTACCTTACATTTTCTTTAACAGTAAGGTTAAAAACAGAGGTTTGTAAAGGCAGTTGAAGCTACACTCACACTTGGTGTATAAGTTATGGAAGTCCTAATATTTGGTGCTTGATAGGAGCAAGTTGTAAAATTTTGGCCATATTTCTTTCTGGCCACATGTCAGAACTTTTATCTCCATGTAAAACTACTTTAAGTATATATAATATCTGCATCTCAAAAGGTAGTTATGTTTATTAAACAATTTAGATTGTTGAAATCCAACATAAGTCCCTCCACATAGTATTTAGTTTCTATGTTAATTATGCAAAGGAAAACCTGCAAGCATATACAATCTTCAAACCCCTGAAGTCACCAGGGTAAATGATCTTTTCACTTTAGCATCAAAAAGCTGCAGTAGATTGGCAATATAATTAAATACATCAAAAGAGTATATAATTATTAAATATAAGCAGAACATGTCTCTACATGACATTGATTTTCACTGGTATTGCCCTTAATCCTGGATTTTTAATGAGTCATTAGTTGCTTGAGAGACATCAATGAGCATTTAAATACCTTGCTAGTGGAGTGGTTCATTCATCCATTTCAGTAACGGTTCTTGCCTCCTGCTGGCATAGTTCTGAGTCAGACTGCCCGCCGGAAGGTCAGCTGCTCCCTGGGGGAAAGAGGAGGCTCACTATTCCCTTAAAGACTTGCAGTCTCGCCAGTTCTCTGTCCTCAATGGCCGTGAGTGGAACTGTACTTCAGACTTTATTCTAAGAGCTTGAGATGCACTAATGGACGAAACAGACAAAGATTTTGTTTGAAGATTTAGTTCCAAAGTGTCAATAAATATTAATTTTGATACAATGTTTTCTAAGAAGACGTAAATAGCATGTTTCTGGGAAAACCATAGTCATCATAATTAATGAGGCTTGCATTTAGTAAGGTTGTTGAATTCTTTTTATATATATACATATATACATGACTTTATATATAACATAAGAAATAAACAGTTAATTAAGCTATAGAGCAGTACAAATGGCTCAGTGCAACTCACTCCCGTGAGACAGTTGTGAGACACTGGCAGTCCTTCAAGTCGTGAGGGCCGCCAGGTAGTCCTCAGTAGAGCAATTCATGCTATCCGGCCACAGGCAGCAAACAGCAAGGCAGGTCACCAACAGTCAGCCAGATGACAGGGTCCGACAGTCCCCAGCTCAAGAGATGTATACTCCAGTAATGTAAAGAAGCAGGTCTTGAAGGAGCCTCAAATGACAGCGACACAGTCCACAGGTTGGTTGTCCCACAGGTAGTGATCTTGCAAATTGAGGCAGAGAACAATCTAAGGCAGCCGCACACCGGTCCAATCATCAAAGAGCAAGAGACAAAGAAGGCAAGGCTCGCAGAGGCCATTTGTCTCTCTGCCCTTCAATTCATCCACATATGTTCATTGGCCAAGTTGGGGTGGTTGAATTCTTTGAGGAGGCTGTGGTGTAATGAGTTACGTGTTGGGCTGCTAACCACAAGGTCGGCAGTCCAAATCCACCAGTTGCTCCTTGAGAGTAAAATGAAGCATTCTGATCCCATAAAGCTTTACAGTCTCAGAAGCTATAGAAGCAGTTCTATAGCAGTGCTATGAACTCTGTTCTCTACCTGTGCTCTGAGTCAGCATTAACTTGATGATGGCAGTGGCTATTGAACTTTTTAAAGAAAAATTCGGTAATCATTTAGCCCGAGAATCTCAACCTGTGGGGGTTGAACAGCCCTTTCACAGGATCGCCCGATTCATAGCAGTAGCCAAATGACAGTGATGAAGTAGCAACAAAAATAATTTTATGTTTGGGGGTCAGCACAACATGAGGAACTGTATTAAAGGGTCACAGCATTAGGAAGGTTGAGAACCACTGGTTTAGCCAGTGAGATTACTGAATTTTTAAATTACATAATTTTGTTAATTTTTAAACCTGGATTTTTTTGTTTTACGATTATTCATATCATCTATGAATTGGTCAGTTCTAATTACCAACATAAAGTTCACCACCTAGCAAAATAGAACTGATACAATTCACTAGAAAACGTGTGTAGAATTGATACTCGTCCAAGTGTGAGTATGAATGCAATGGGTCAGCCAGCGATTTGAGTTCTCTAAGCCTTTTTCGTCTCTCAGCAATGGCCCATCTGTCACCCTCCAGGTTCCATGCCAACCAACTATGAGCTCTACTACGGCTTCACAAGATTCGCTATTGAACTCAATGAGTTAGATCCTGTGTTAAAAGACCTCCTTCCACCAACAGATGCGCGATTCCGGCCAGATCAGAGGTAAGGATGCCAGTGTTTAAGATGCACACAGATAGGACTATGGATGTCATAGAGATTCACTTCCCCGACATCGTTTATTCATTCCGCCAGACATTGTGGTTCAAACAGTTTGGTGCTTGACTCCTAGCCTGAAGCTTCTAACCTATCCAGGTGGCTCGCTAGACGAGCCTGGTGATACGTGCTGGAAGGTGACTGTTTTGAAAACCCTGTGGAGTAGTTGTAAACTGTATACAAAGGGTTACTAGCAATCAGAACCAATTTAACTGCAACTCATGACACAAGCTCTCGCTGAAGTAGTGCCCATAGGCTATCATATGAGAAGGTTGTTTGTCTCAACTACAAGGTTTCCCACAGCACAGATGTTTGTCAACAAAAAATTTTATCTACCCTCTAAAAAGAATGACTAAAGGTTTATATATTCAATGGACAAGCTCCACTGAATACAAACTTACTCTTCTCCAAGTGTTTTATTTTAAATTATTTTCCCTTATTATTCTATAAGAGGGAGTTATCTTTCAAGCTAGAGAATTGTATGGCATGGGAACAGAGAAATACTTTGAAAGCCCAGAATTTGCCCATCATAGGTTTTTTGGTTTGTTTTTTAAAGATTTATTTTTTGTTTTGTTTTTCTTTTATTTTTTTTAATCTTTTTTTATTCATCACTTTATTAGGGGGAACTCTTACAAATCTTATGACAATCCATCATTCAGTTGTATTAAGCACACTTGTGCATATGTTGCCATCAACATTTCCAAAATATTTTCTTTCTATTTGAGCCCTTAGTATCAACTCCTCTTTTTTCCCCTCCCTTCCCCACCCTCCCACTTTCGTGAATTCTTGGTCCATTATATACTTAATATAGTTGTTATTTCATGTCTTACATTGTCCATTATCTCCCTTCACCCACATTTCTGTTCTTAATCCCCCTAGGGAGTGGGCTATATATTCAACCTTGTGATGGGTTCCCCCTTTCTCACCCTTCCCCCACCACTCCCCTGCCCCCATGATATTGTAACTCCCACTACTATTTCTGGGGGTTTTATCTGTCCTGAATTCCATGTGTTGAGAGCTCTTATCTGTACCAATGTACTCCAGCCTAGCCAGATTTGTAAGGTAGAACTGGGTCATGGTAGTGGAGGGGAGGAGGCATTCAGGAACTAAAGGAATGATGTGTTAACAGATTTATTGACATAAAATCCTCATATCATACAATTCAATAGTTCAGCCACATTAAAAAGGGTTGCACAACCATCACCACAGTCAATTTTAGGCCATTGTCTTCTTTCTTGCACTTGATTTTAGCTCCCTCCCTCCCTCCCCCTGAACCTCCTCTGCCGTGCCCTTCCAAACCAAACTCACTGCCATGTAGCCATCCCTGACTCGTAGTGATCCTGTTATATGTCAGGGCAGCACTGCCCCTGTGGGTTTCTGATCCTAACTCTTTATGGGAGCAGGAAGCCTCATCTTTCTTCCGCAGAGCATCTGGTGATTTCAAACAGCTGATCTTGAGGTTATCCCAAAAGTAATCAATATGCCACCAGAGCTCTTGGAACAGACAGACAGTGGGTCAAAAGGGAAGTCACCTGACAGGGTGTCACATTTTACCCTAACTACAGCTATCCCAATCCACCTATGCACTCTGATCGCAAGGCCATTCACTTCCCATAAGTTGTGCGTGAGATATGCCTTCTGATTCATTTCTCCATCAAACATAGATCTGCACGCATTGTGTCCTGTATTTTCATTCCTATGGAAATAATAATACATTACTTCTCCCAGAGTTTCCATGTTGTTTCTGTTACATGCAATTAAATGTGCTCCAGCCCACAGCGTCCGTATGTACAATAGGGCAAAACAATTAAACCTGAGCCTGCACCAACTTTTTCTGATTACAGTTTTTTTTTCACTTTGTCTTCTGCCAAAATGTTTTCAGTATTACCTGCTCTACTATTCAGATCTCTTAAATATAAATTACATATTTTCTTAAATTTTTAAACCTGGATTTTTTGTTTTACTATTACTCATATCATATATGAATCTATCACTTCTAATTACTGTATTCCCTTCCCCTCTCTCCAGAATAATCTCATTATATGGCATTCAAATCTATTAGTAATAAGTGTATTTTATTCTTTCTTAAAGTCATTAAAAGTCATAAATACTAGAATCATGTGTTCTTTAGGTGGATTAAGTACATTATATTGTGCTGGGTGGTGAATTTCCTGTGCCAGGCATATCATACCATATCATATCATATGCCTGTTCTTGCCTCTCATTTTGAAATGGAAATATTTGCAACTCACCATTGGATCTTTTAAATCTGCTTCTTTTTTAAAAAAAATTCTATCATAACCTTCTATTCCTGAGTTTCATACGCTATTAATTTCCTATTCTTTGGCCTTGGTCATTTTCACTACTTGTTACCTATTTTAAACGCCACCTATAGTCTTCAACAACGGCTTCTTTTTGTTTTGTTTTACATACTTTTTTAGCAATATGACATAATGCAACCATCACCACTGTCTACTTGCAAAAGTTCCTCTGTGTCCCAAACAGAAGCTCAGCGTGTTAGTCTGGTACTTTAGAGAAACAAATCCACAGAAACTCATGTGTAAGAGAGAGGGGTTTTTTTTTACCCTAACCCTAACAGAGAGTTTTATATAAAGGTTAAGTGTGCATCAAGAAAACATCCCAACCCAGTGCTGCCCAAGCCCACAAGTCCAACATTAACCCATATGTCCAACACCAATCCACAAAGTCCTCCTCCATCTCACAAAACAGACGCAATGATGCCGACTGCAGGAGGAAAGCCAAGTCAGTGAGCCTGTAAACATCTAGGCACTGGCAGGGGTCTCCACACGGGTGCTCCAGCACCCAGGGCTGCTTCAGGGTAGGTCCATGTGGCTTCTCCTCAGGGATGTCTTGCAGGAAGTCAGCCTTGCAAATTGAAGCAGGGAACTGCTAAGGCAGCTCCACCCTGGTGCGACCATCACAAAGCATGAAACCCAAGAACTAGAAAGGAGAGGCTCACTGAACCATTTATCCCTCTACCCTTCAATTAACCCCACATGTGTTTATCAGCCAGGTTGGCACAATAAACTAACTCACTCAGTAACTCCCTATTTCTCTCAGCTCCTGATAATTGCTAAGAAACTTTAGTCTCGTATTTATTGGCCTATCCTGGATGGTTTTCAAAGTGGGAATGTACAGTATTTGCCCTGTTGTATCTAATTCAGGAGCCCTGCTTGTGTGGTGAGCCACACATTGAAGCGCTAGCCACAGCCTCCCTGGGAGGAAGAGGAGGCTGTCTGCTTCTGTACAGACTGGAAGTCTCCCAAACCCAAAGGAGCAGTTCTACTCTGCCCTCAGGGTCACTGTGAGTCTAATTGGTTTGGGTTCTATTTCCGATAGCATCATGCTTTCAGGGTTCATTCATGTTAGAGCATGTACCAAGACTTCCTTTTCGTGTTTGGTTTTATTCTCTCGTGTGTGTGTGTGTGTGTGTGTGTGTGTGTGTGTATGTGTGTGTGTGTGTGTGTGTGTGTGTTTATCACATTTTATTTATCTACTCATCTGTTGATGAACCTTCGGGTTGTTGCCACCTTCAGCTATTGTGAATAATACTGGTGGGAATGTGGGAGTGCAAAGGTAGCCGATTGCGTCCCTCCGTTTAATTCAATTGTTAGTTTGGGCTACTAGTGCTTTTGGAGGTGATGCGGAAGGAGCACAACTCACCCCTCCATGCTCTTCTCCTCCTGGACTCTCCGCCGTCCCGATGAGCTCACTTTGCAGAGCCCCAAAGGGCCCAGAAAAGTCCTCAAGGACCAAACCACTGATCTGCTCATTCCAAACCGTTACGTGGCTGCACACAGTGATCCCATCCACACACACAGCAAGCACGTTGGTTGATGGGCAGGCAGAGGCGGTATGTGTGGGCGCAGGGGTGGGAGGGTCATGCTCAGAGCAAGCAGCAGGTAATTTTGTGTAAAGCAGATCATATTTTTTTCCCAGAAAAAGGATAATGGATTAAAGGGGCAACTGTTGTCTATTTAGATTTTTGGAAGAAGGAAATTTGGAAGCTGCAGCAGCTGAGAAACAAAGAGTAGAAGAACTTCAGAGATCCCGAAGACGATACATGGAAGAAAACAACCTTGAACACATACCAAAATTTTTTAAGTAAGTCAGTTCTGTCAGCCAGCAAGGACATGTTGTACAACTGTGTAAATAATGGGAAATTCCACGTGAAAAGACCATTAGGAAGAACTAACTGTCCAGAGAGTTTAAAGGTGAAAAAATGAAACTGATGGTGGTAACCTTGCTTTTGGCAGTGGAAATAGTGAATCAGATTTCAATTAAAAATAACTTCTCCTCTATAATACTTCTCTGTTCACGGACAGCCTATGAGACTGGAGGTCTCGCCCGGAAGACCTTTGGTTCTGCATCCCTTTAGGATGATGAAAACTTGCTCACATTCCCTCACCCAAAGATGGGACGGGACCCCGCCGCCCACAAGGTTAACCTGGCTTGATTAGGATTTCATTTCATTTCTAATACAGAGAGCTTCCATCTGTTCAGACAGAATCCCACTGTGGTACGATCATGTGTGATTATTACTCAATTATTTACGGGATTGTACATACATCACACAGACCGATCTAGTTTCCCAAACTATCCCTTGCCCTCCAGAGCCAGGACACAAACCCGAGCTCAGAAACCCAGTTGCCGTTTCCCAGCTGCCCGGTGGGGATGCAGCCTTGCTCTTCGGATGCCTACAGGCATGCTTTGGAGACTGCCGGTGCAGAGGCTCTTAGGCCTAGCCAGGTCACATCCTCGTATGGGGCTGAAGTGCTAAGTTGTAATCGTTGAATGCTCTTTGATTGGGCTTTTCCCTTTCTCGTCCGGCCTGGAGATGATTTATTCTTGCCCGCAGCCTCTCCACATGACCACTGCATGGCAAACATTTAACTCTGAAATGAGTTCATTTCTGGCCAGCAAGGTTCAACAGTAAGCAGCTAAGACACTCAGGGACCTAAAAAACTCTGTTTGCATCAGCATGTCGGAATGACCAGAGAAGCTCCAGTTCTTGGTCCACCATGATGAGATCTGTGTTTAATGTTCCTTTTTTTTTTTTCTTTCTGTCTTTTTAATTCCACAGAAAAGTTATCAATGCCAATCAAAGAGAAGCCTGGGTTTCTAATGACACCTACTGGGAGCTGCGTAGAGACCCTGGGTTTAGTAAAGTGGACAGCCCAGTTCTTTGGTGAACTGGGGAACGTAGCGCTCGCCAACATATCACACTGAATGATTCGATCACTATGCACAAGGATGTTTCTTCTAGCTCAGCGTGGTTTGTGGGTCGACTGAAAACCTCCCATTTGTTCCTCTCTTCATCTTTATAATGGACTTTCAGAAGTGCATTAGACAAGGCCCCTAACCACTTGTGGATCCTTTCTGTTTTGCTGCAACCATATTCCTTAAAACATCCACACCCACCTCGGAAAGCAGAATTCAAGGAGTCGAGTATCAAATCCAAAGTTTGAAGAATTTGTAAGGAAAACAAACTGCAACTGGTGCTTCAAGCTGACCAAGAGCATTCAGAGCAACATGACAGATAAGCCGCGTGTGTGGTCCTTTGTCCGGAAGCACCATCACCCCCGGCAGAGCTCCTGGGGCGTGGTGGGCTTTAGCCGGTGACTCTGATGTGGTGACGTGGTGTGCCTGTGCTCGCCTTGTCGGAAAAGACGTGATGCTTCTCAGAACCAGTTCCATCTGTATGCCATTGTTCATGCCTTAAGAAATGCAAAGATGTACACTGTATCGTTTTTTAGATGTGTGCTCGTAGGTTTGTGTGAAGGGCAGCTCTTTCGAATCCTGGCATGATTCACTTCATGCGATCAGAATCACGAGGAGAACGGAAGTGGATGAAAGAAGAAGTAAGCAGCCGGGCCGCCGGAAAGGCGACAAAGAAAAGGTGTGACGAAGTAGATCGCTGTGTTCCTGTTGATCTTTAAGTTCCTGTCCTGCTTCCAGATAATAAACCACCCCTCTCGGACCTAACCTCACAGTGTGCCCTATTATTTGGCAAAAATCTGTATTTAATACAAGCCCTCAGCATCAGTGTTATAACCTTGGGGGGGAAAATCACAAAACACATATGGAATTCCTGAGCGTGCTTGAGTAGTGTAAACACAATTGTTTATGATCGAAGCACAGTGTAACCCACCTCTTTATCCCATGCTCAACGCACTGACCCTAGTCGAATTCCACTGGGAACAAGCAAGAATGCTAGTAGCTTATTGGCATTGTTTAAATGAATTCTATGCAAAACCCTGTTTCTTATTTTTATCCAGTGATTCGGTATGAGACATGACCACCTCGTATGCGTTTATCTTGCTATTGGCAGAGCTATAAACTTAAGCTAAGGAATTTATCCATCCTCCCCCAAAAGTGGGGCAGCAATGTGTTTGGCATTACTTCAGCGGGTTTTTTTTCCTCCACTATTATACAGATGTTTTTTGTAGGTAACTTGCATTATATTCCTCAGTTTCTGCACGTAGATGACTATATAAATGCCTGTATGCTTATTTTTTTTAAAATCTCTTTAGAGATTTTCCTAGAGAATTATAAAATCACATATAGTTTATCCTTAGTTCGACTTTCATTCTTAAATTCTTACCATCAGACTTTGAGTATGATTTTAAGCACTGATAACAAGGTTACTGACATTGTACATTTTGCTATGAGATGTTTTAGTGTCATTTCTCCTCAGCAAAGCATTCTGACTACTGGCTAATAAGCCATCAACTGTGGACGACCCGAGGGGAGACCGACAGGTCCACTGATGGAAGCCATATTTTAGTTAGCCTGCAATGTATCTCGCCTTTATGCGGAGTCCGTAGCTTATGTACACAGTCGGCACTGGTTAGGGATGGAGCTTCACCCTCGAGTAAAGTCTAATCCATCACCAGCACAATCCCATCCCCTTAAGCAGCACCATCCCTATGACTCCCACTTCCTTTCCATCCCGTTTGAAACCTGTAGGTGGCTTCCCCCTGTGGTAGTCCAAGCTCTCCCTGATTATACATTCTTTTTCTACCCATTCATCTGGACAAATTTTATCTGTATCCTACGATACAGCCTTTTAATTTTAACTAGAATCTGATTAGAATCCTATTGCCTTTCCACATAATAGTCTGTTCTCCCCTGACTGGTGATGCTTCCAATACTACTTAAAGCGGTCCTGGTCTGTACTTACTGGTCTTTTCCTGGACATTCTCAAAACATTTAGCATAAATGCAAGGGAAGAAGCCTGCAAAAGGAAGTTACTAGAGTACCTGTAGAAGGACAGGAAGGGTGGCGCGTTGGTGTGATGGCAGGCAGGCAGAAGGGCCCAGCAGGGAAGCACCTATTCTCTCTAGCATTTGAAAACCACAGCTTCATTCTAGACGAGCCCAAGTTTAGAATCTCTTTGCAGATGCTGATATCCGTCTGAGAATTCCATCTCAAACCTAAATGAAGTTTTAGACGGTGGTCCATGACTGGATTCACTAATCTCTCCCCATCACCACAAGCAGCAGTAACAGCCACACCTCTGTCCTGTCTCACCTTCCAACTTTTCAGGGCTGTTGAAGACTGGTGAGACGTACCTCTGTCTGGAATTCTCAGCTACTCGCTATTTGGGCCAGTCGAGGCTCGTTTAAACAGCAAGTAGTGTCGAATAAATATTAGAGCATTCTTCTTAATAAAAACGGATTTCTTTCTTAGGATTTTTATATAAACCCTTTTGGTTTTTTTCCCTCCCTCTTCTTTCAGGGACTCTTTTTTTTCTTTCTTTCTTTCTTGTTTTCCCCTAAAGTGATGTAGGGTAGAGTAGGACTTAATAAGTCTTTACACCTCCCTCGTGGTTTATTCATAAGCAACTTCATCTCATTTCGTTGGTCATTAAGGAAAGCCGTAATAAGTGCTAATGATCCTGTGGGCCAGGCTATGCTGGACGGATCGATAGCCCAGCACACTGATTCTATAGGCTGCTACCCAAGGTACAAACGTACTCTCAGATTTTGCCATTGTTTTAATGTGTTGGTTTATTTGTTTAATTAAGAGATTATTTTTCACGATTACTTTCAAATACCCCCATCATTTCCAGGAATTTATAAAAATAAGCCTCGTGTGAGTTACAGCATAGTAGCACTTACCAATTATACGTTGTGGAATTGCACATCATCTTCTGGGTAAGAGAAAGCAAGAGATTTCTCACCACAAGGGATGCCAGATTGTACATATAAGCCTTTCGCTTGTCTTGATTATTCTGGCTTCGTGCCTGTGTGCTCATCACTAATCGATCATTAGATCCTGCCCCCCAGGAACAGGGTGGGAGAAAGCTTAAAAAGAAAAACACAAACTCCTGGTCAAGCTGTTCTGCTCAGGCCTGGTTATGCTGTGACTGGAAGCACCTGTCACTGTCTTCTACAGTACCTTTTGGTTATTTCGTGGATTTTAATTATCCATCTTGTCTAATCGTGTTCTCTGCCCTCCTAGATCATGATGATGTGTTTGTGGGAGCGGAGCGCCTCGCTCCACAGGGGTGTCCTCAATGTTTGCACTTGGCTTGAGTTGGCATCTTAGGACTGTGCACAGTAAATAAAGTTTGTGTACAAAATATTAGTCTATTTCTATGGGAGCCACTATGTTCAGGATATATAAAATGTATCTAATTAAACAATTATGAATCTATTTTGTGCTCTAGAAATGTTCTTTGGGTTGGGGGGAGAAGGGGGTAAAAAGAAGGCATTGTCTTTTAAACAAAGCACAAAGCTGCGCTGTCCTTTAGAAATCCTGCTTATCGAAACCAGATTTGGATCCTCGAAGTTGTTTACTTGAACGTCTTTTGTAAAATCCACACGTTTAAACCGTATGCTGCACAAACCATTCAACGCAGAACTCTAAAAACATACATTTGTTACTGAATTCTGAAGGCCCTCTTGGCAGCCTTTGCCTTTTGAGAAAATGGCAGCTTGTTTAAAGACAGGTTTACCCTTAACACTTCCAAGTAGACATGTAAAGAAACCGTTAAAAGTTGCTGTGAGGAGTTGCTTTGAGCCTTTAGAATGGGCATGAGGAACGCAGCGGGCTATTGCCTGTGGCAGCAAAGCAGTTTCGAGCCGTGGTACACAACAGTCCTGTGCTTAAGCGTTTGTCAGGTACGCAGTATTTACTCCCAGTTGTCGGCCGACACCAATACTGGAACCCTGCATTTGGGTGGTGCGGAAGCCTCCCACGGGACACTGTTTTTCCTATATTAGAAAGCCCTCCATAATTACACACTTCCCTCAGCGTCACTACATGGATAGGGAAAAAAACAAAGAATGTCCTGAATTTCTGCGTTTCCCCCCCTAATGTCTTTCTTTTCTAAATTATCAGTTGGGGCAATGGTAGAGGCATATTAAGTTTTCTGAAAACAAGGTATAATCCTATCTGGGTTCCACCTAATTTTTCTCATGCTCTTCAGTTAACAGGGTGAGCAATTGAATGTAATACTCTCTAATGAGATAATAATGATAAAGCTATTCTTTTTTATCTTCAGTATCCTTCCCCCACCCCCTTCCCTTAATTTCCCCTTTGAGCCCACCAGCGCTCCACAGAACAAAGTGCCCCTCTACTCTGAAGATTACAGCCTTGCAGACCCTACAAGGCAGGTTTGGTCTTTCAAGATGTTTTGTTTTAAGAGGCTTGACTGATGTACAATGCACTGCATCTTTTGGAAGTGGCTAATTGCATACATTCTGATGCCTGTGTACACCAATGACACCATCACCACAAACAATAGTGTACTCACCCACCCCACCCCCAGACCTCTACCTCTTGTAACCCTTCCCCCCCCCCCACCCCCAGCTCCCTTCCCTAGGCATCCCAACCCTCCCATTCATTTGTTACTTCAACTTAGTTATTTTGAATGGAAGCTCCATGTACTTTCTTGTCTGTATGGCGGATGGGATTTTACAAAAGCTCAACATGTGCATGCATCCTCCTCCCACACCACTCCCCTGTGTCCACACCATCACGTACAAGTCCAGAGGCAGTGGGTCCCACTGAGGTCTTGTTCTGATAGCCCCGTGGAAGGTTTATATTTGAAATACTTGGGAAATAATAATATCCTATTTGTTGTATCAAAATGGCCATGGATGTTTCATAGATGAAATTTCCATCTTTGGGAATCCAAATTTATCATAACCCTGAGTTTGCTGGTGATGCTGGGGAAGCCCGGGAGGTGTTTTCTTTTGTCCATTTAATGAAAGAACCCATAGGACAGCGTCATCCATCTAGACCGGCTGCCCCGGAAATAATGCTGCTTCCCAGGGAAGGAGCTGCTGCCGGGTTACTTTCTTCCTCCTCAGCCCCAGCTTTGCTTTTCAAACTTCTAGTCTCCTCTGGAAACAAAGCTGCTAAACACAATTTGGGGAAAGAACTGGAAATGAAACATCAAGGTTTTGTTTGTTTTTAAACAATTTTATTGCCATATAATTCACATATACATTTCAATAGTTCAATCGTATTTCAAAAGAGTTGAGCAGTCATCACTACAATCCCCTTTGGGTCATGTTCTTCTTTTTGGTGCCGCATTGCTGTTAGCTTCCCATTTCCCCCCACCCTCCCTTGCCACACACCCACGCACCCATGAAAGAAGTTAGTGTTTCTATAGACTTACCCATCCCGGAGAATGTGGCCTAATGGGTTTCACGTTTGAAACCACCAGTCACTCCGAGGGAGAGAGATGAGGCTTCTTACTTCGTCGAGATGTGCAGCCTCAGAAACCCAGAGGGGCAGCTCTGCTCTGTCATACAGGGTCACCAGGAGGGCGAATTGACTCAGTAGCAGCGAATTTGGATTTGAGGAAACCAGCCTCCAACAACCGAAGGGCCAGAAGGCACAAATGCATGGCGAGCATAGATAAAGGTGCTAGTAAAGTCTTAGAAGATAAGAACAGCAGGAGAGAGTACAATAAAGGAGTCAGACACATTTTGTGGTAGCATGCTCACCTCAGCTCCTCTCAATGGACCACGTGGAACTGGGAGAAGAGAGAGCGAGCCTTTACTATCTTGGGACATTTATAGGTAGCCTTAAGACATGCATCCTCATTAGTTACATGCTTCACAAGGTGGGTGGTATCTACATTAAGGTCCATGAGCTCACAGGGAAGAAAACTTAATACCTGCTTTGGGGGAAGGTATAAGTGGGGGTTGGGGGGGGGGTGACACCCTGGTGGGAAGAGATAGCAAAAGGATAATGTCTGCTTCTTTAGGGTGATAGAATCAACCATGTGCTCACTTTAAGGCAGCAGAGCTGTTAAGAGTCTCTGGGAGCTGCAGACACTTAACACCCTTGAGTGCAGAGCCCACCCAGAGGCATCTTCTGAGATGCCCTATGGAGCACAGCTCTACTCTGACATGTGGTGTCATCATGAGTCACAATGAACAGACCAGCAACTGTAAAACTGCGTCAAAGAAAAGTGCTAGGGGGTACACCCCCCCCCCCAAATCTGCAATTGTGCTGGCGGAGTGGAGCATTCATAGTACGCATTTTTCCTGCCAGGTGAGCATCCAGCAACTCACTCTGAGTTAGTGCATCCAGTGGTGGCATCTGGGAAATTTCTCTCTGGTCACAGTGAATTTTTTTCATAAAAGCAGTTTCACTCAGCCTCTTTTTTTATGATGGCCAATTTAAGAGAACAGCATGAGGCTGTGAAATTTTGTTTCCTGCTTGGGAAAAATGCTGCAGGAATTTTTAGGATGTTATAGCTTACCAGGACAGCACTATGGGAAAAACTCAAGTGTACGAGTGGTTTTCTTGTTTCAAAAAAAGGTGAAATGTAGATTGATGACAAACCTTGTTCTGGATGTCCGTTAATTTCCCAAACAGATAAAAATGTCCACTCAGAGTGCATTTGGAGTTTGTTCCACCAGGTCAGATCGTTAATCAAACTTTCTATTTAGAGGTTCAAAAAAGATTGCGAGAAAGTGTGTGACAAAAAAATGCCTGATTTGTGGCAGACGGAACTGGTTTTGCCACCATGACAATGCACCTGCTCACACAGCCATCTCAGTGCACCAGTTTTTGGCAAAACACAGCATGCCTCTCTTGCCCCACACACCTTACTCCCCTGACATCACTCTGAGTGACTTCTTTGTGTTTCCATGAATGCAGAGGGACATGAGAGGACAGCGATTTGATGATGTAGAAGAGGAGAAGCAAAAACGAGGGAGGTGCTCTCAGCCATCCAAACAGAGAAGCTTGAAAAATGTTTCCAAGAATGGAATCACAGATTTGACAAATGTATTACGTATAGTGTAGAGTACTTTGAAGGTGATAAGGTTGTTTTGTAAAAAAAATTCAATACATAGCATTGAAAAAAGTTCCATTTTTTTGGAGGGGGGTTCCCCCTCATATATCCAAGTAATGGCTCTGCTGCCATTTTTCATCTTCATATAATCAATGTAAAGCAGTTATAAACATGTTGACTTCAAGCTGCATAGGCATAGCTCTTATCTTTAAAAAAAAACTTGCAAAATTTTCTAGATTTTTAAAGTTTTATTTTCAAAAGTAGTTTTTTAGTAGAACTATTCTGTAAGCCTACCAGTGTGATAAAATGAGTGTCCTTGTCGATAACTTAATAATACAAAAGATAGTAAACTTGTAGTTATTTTTAGAACTCCCATCTCGTAAGTCTCTTGGTTTGAACAATACATCGTGCAGGTACTCTATGTACGTATGCCAGGGTAAGTCTGAAAGCATTGCTGCAAAACCACAGGAACCTTCATGAGACAAAGGTACCCAATGTGACGCGATTCTTTCATGTGTGAAGCTATTATAGCTTCCACGTCTGAAGGAGGTGGTTCCATCTCTAACTCTTCCCCCAAGAGAATTCTTCTCTCCTTGATTGATATCGTGACCTCAAAATAGCATTTGGACATCCTCGAGAGATCCAAATCATGGTTCTTTGAGTTTTCAGAGCCAAATAAAAGGGCAAGATTGGAGCTGAAGGGTGGATGGGATTAGATTTCCCAAGGAAATTCTCATGGGAGAGTTTTTGAGAACCCTCGAAAACAAATCAGTACATCACTGAAAAAGGAAAAGTTATTCCTGTTTTCATAACTGCTCTGCCCTTTTCCTCATCGGTGCAGTTTTCAATTTTAAAAAGTCTCCATTGTAAGCCCTGTAATCATCCTCTATCCCTCAAGAAAATCTATCAAGATCCACACACCCCTTGGGATCCTCAGAAAAAATTGCCATAACCTTCTGAGCTGGCCTCTCTGCCTTGAATTTATCTGGTCTAGTAGATTTCCCAGAAACCATTACTTTACCTTGACCTTTGTTTTTGAAGTCAAAATAACATGACTAAGATATGCATATCACTGAGAGAATCTGTCTGCAGTCATCCACTGATATCAGAGACATGTTTAAACATGTCATGGTTAGCATAACCTCGTGCATGTATTATGAACTGGAACCCCAGTGGGAATACTTTTTCATTTACCCTCATGTATTCATATCCCTCTCTTTCCCTAAATTAGATCCCTCAAAGACCTCCTCTTACTGTAGCCATCAATTCAGCCAGGATTTAGATTTTTCAAAAGGTGGACTTTTCTAAGATGGAGGGTATAGACTAAAGCCAATTCAATTTTTTGGACCAGGCTACCAGAACTTCAAGACCACAGAGATTAAAGAGCCTGGTTAAC